ATTTTGGGCCGGTTGACTGGCCCCTATCCGCCCTTCCAAAACAATGCTTTGCAAAGTTGCTCACCCACACTGCCGTCGCATGTTTGCTATTTTTTATTAAATAATATATTTATTTAATTAATTTGCATAAATATTACGCCGATATTTTTATTTTCAAAAATAATACACCATCGGCCCGCTGCAGGCTGACTAGGTGCATGTGGCCATTTTTTTTCTGTTTTTGGTTTTAGTTGTTGTTTTCTATTTATTCTAGCTATCAAATGAATCTGGTTTCTGTTGAAACTTTTTGCATAAATTACTAGCAATATTAACAAGCCACATATAAATTTTCATAATTTTTGGAAAACCACATTTTTACATTTGATAACTCCTGGTGAATATAGATAGGGTTTAAATTTAATTATCCAAATTGATTTTTTTATTTTTATAAATGTTAAAATATTGAGAAGAATGGTTTAACATTTTTTTGAAACAATTTGAGGAATTTGTTTTGGCTTATGAAACAATTTGAAACAATATGAAACAATTTTTGTGAAACAGTTTGAGGAAAATTCTCAAATTGTTTCATAAACCAAAAAAGTATTCTCAAATTGTTGCACAAAAAAATTTAAATTATTCTCCTCGATATTTTAACATCTATAAAAATAAAAAAACAATTTGGATAGATAAATTTATACCCTATCTATATTCACCAGGAGCTATCAAATACAATTGTAAAAATGTGGTTTTCCAAAAATTATGAAAATCTATATGTGGCTTGTTAATATTGCTAGTAATTTATGCAAAAAGTTTCAACACAAACTATATTTATTTGATAGCTAGAGTAAATAGAAAACAACAACTAAAACCAAAAATGGCCAAATGCACCTAGTCGGCCCATCGCAAGCCGATTGGCTTCCAGTCGGCCTGAGGCCGACTGGACTAATTGGTTCCCAGCAAGCCAATTAGTCCCTGCGGTGGGCCGACTAGACTCAGTCAGCCTGCAGCGGGCCGATGTTTTATTATTTTTAAAAATAAAAATATCGGCGTAATATTTATGCAAATTAATTAGAAAATTGTATTATTTAAAAAAATTAGCCACATGTTTGCTCTATCACAGCATGCAAAAACAAAGTCCGTTGTTGGTTTAGCTACAGTCTCACGCATAAACTAGCAAGCTTAATTGATGCTCCACTTTTAAGTACTGATGACAACTAGACAAGAGAAGAAAAGAATGCCACATCAACCATGGCAGGCTCTAGCGGCTAGGAATCTCTCACTGCTTACAGGCAAAAGCCAGCTTGCATTCCCCTCCAAATTCGGTTCCAACTAATTAATTAAGTGCACTCTAGCTCATCATAATCATCATATAACACTACAAATTCAGTTGATTGCTACCAGCTCTGCTTTTCTTATACCTTTCTAGGAGTATATATACATGCAAGTGTGGTACGTGTAGCATACACCCACCAGCGCAGTGACAAAACAAACCTATACCAACGAACTGGGCCTGTCAAAACAAATATGGCGTCCAAGTCCAACTGCGTTCTCCTCTTGGCCGCCGTCCTAGTCTCCATCTTTGCCGCCGTTGCCGCCATCGGCAATGAAGATTGCACCCCATGGATGAGTACTCTGATCACTCCACTCCCAAGCTGCCGTGACTATGTGGAACAACAAGCATGTCGCATCGAAACGCCCGGGTCGCCGTACCTCGCCAAGCAGCAGTGCTGTGGGGAGCTTGCAAACATTCCGCAGCAGTGCCGATGCCAGGCGCTGCGCTACTTCATGGGGCCCAAGTCTCGTCCGGATCAGAGCGGCCTCATGGAACTCCCCGGATGCCCTAGGGAGGTGCAGATGGACTTCGTGAGGATACTCGTCACGCCGGGGTACTGCAACTTGACGACCGTTCACAACACTCCGTACTGCCTCGCTATGGAGGAGTCTCAGTGGAGCTAGAGACAATTCTCTCGCTCATGAATAAATAAGCATGTTGCGACCATACATGTGTGACATGCATATATGCATATAGGACGAGCTCCGCACGCTCATCATGTGTGGTGCTATGTGCTACATATATGGATAAGAATAAAGGGAATCATTTTCGCTTCTTAAACTCAACTCGGATCTTTAATTCATGTCTTTGGTGGTCAAAATTATTAGCAAAATCTCCAACAGCTAATAACATTTCTACATTTTTGTCCAGCCTTTTATTTCCAGTGAGCAGCATATACAAGGCTATATTTGTAAATGATAAATAATAGTTGCCATGTACTGGCGAGGGAGCCATGTACTTGACTTTTTCTTCTGTCGTTCTGCCCGTCATTGGGGCTTGGGGGTGTTTGATACTAATCTGTGATGTTGCTGCTACCTGCCTTATGGCTTTATTTATAAAGTCGGGTGTTTGCCTTTTCTCTAAAAAATAAATAATAGTTGCCCGCATTCAGATCAATTATTGGGTAAATGGCAAATTGATCAAATGGGGTTGAAGGGTGGGCACCAGGCAGATTCCGGATAAAATTATCCATACCACCACCCGCCCGAATATCCTCTAATATGCCCTGCCGCCTCCAATGTGACATCAATACCATACCGACAAATATTCTAGGCGCATGGATGATAATTAAGGGATTCTGCTTCTTAAAGTTCATCTCGGATATTTTATTCATGTGTTTGATGGTCGAAATCATGAGAAAAATCAAGAAGCGTCCAACTGTTAATAATTTTTTATAATTTGTTTCCTAGTGTTTTAAATTTCTTGCATCCAACGTGGCATCAATACTGGTTGCTGAATCCTCTAGGCGCATGGCCGGGGTACATTTATGCGGATTGTGGTGGAGTTAAATAGTTGTGCTATAGATGCAGTCCTGATACTCCCAGCTTCCTCACCATTTATGTCTAGATGTTGGACAAGTTGTGCCTTTTGTTGTTGTAGTCGTAGTGTGAATTGTACACCTGTAGCGTTGTTTGCTGAAAGGCATTGTAATAGCCGCTTGGCTTGACTCATGATACACCTTTTCACGGTGTATTCGATAAAATGTTGCTTGATATTATGCCGTTGGCCCCTCAAATATAAGTGTTTGCGGCAATAGAAATTTTTCATGTGTGACCTAAGGTTACCCATCCCACGAGCGATAATAGCAACAAATATTCTTTCTTAAGCAATGCCAAAACAGATACGATAACTTCTTTGCCCCAAACAATACTGTGTAGTTATCGATTACACTAGTCTTATAAGTTGCAACAACATATGAGTAAATAACAGTTTGAAAAGATCTGTGTAGATAATGTTATGATTTATCTAAGTTTGGGATTATTAAATAAATGAAAACAAAACTACATGTGAACTATTTTTGGAGTCTTTTCACATGTAAGAAGAGAGAGGTCCAAAGGTTAGTAGTAGCATCTTTCATAGACGATTAATGCCTACAGATGTTTGATTTTACGGTTAATTTGAAAATAATGTTTTGCAAAGTTGCTCACACACAATCATCACATTTTCTCTCACACACAACACTCGGAAATAAACTAGGTTGTTGGTTTAGCAGCACCCGCACGCATAATCTAGCTTAATTGAAGTAGGTTCCACTTCAAATATTATTTCAACTTGACTATAGAAGAGCGAATCAACCTGTGGTTGGATGATTAGAGGGACAGTGGTATCCGCAGCTCACCAGGGTTCAAGTCCTAGTGCTCGCATTATTCCTGAATTTATTTCAGGATTTCCGACGATGCGCTTTCAGTGGGAGGAGATGTTTCCGTCGACGACGCTAGGCTCGAGCGGCTATGAATCTCTCGCCTTCCACGCACAAGCTAAATTTTGTTTCCCTCCTAATTTTGTTCCAACAAATTAATTAAGTGCACTCTAGTTCATCATAATTGTCATGTAACACACAAATATAGTTAATTAGTGCTAGCACTCCCTCTATTACTTTTTCTTTGGGTATATATGCATGCAAGTGTGGTACATCTAGCTTACACCCACCAATATGGTGCGCAACCTCAAGAAATTACACAAACTAGCCGGATGTGGCTAGAAAATAACATGGAGTCCACGTACAACTGGAGTCTCCTCCTCTTGGCCCCTGGTCCTAGTCTCCATCTTTGCCGCCACCGCTACCACCAAACCAAATCACTGCTTCCTAGGGATGGGTAAGCATGCCGCTACAAGGCTATCGTGACTATGTGGCACAACAAACCTGTGGCGCAGCAAGTCGGCGATATGCCGATAACGTGTTGCCTAGAGCTTTCACAGATTTCAGATTGGTGTCGTTGCGAGGCGTTGTGCTACTTCATGGGGCAGGAGCCATCTTGTCCCGAGAAGAGTGGACTCATGAACCTTCCCCAATGCCCTAGGGAGCCGAAAAGGGACTTCGTTAGAGTACTTGTCACGCCGAGCCAATGTAACTTGAGGACCTGTTGACAATGCTCCATACTGCCTTGCTATCGACATGTAAAGATAAATCTTTTGCTCATGAATAAGAATGTTTCACCCATGGATGTACGCATGTGTGGTGCTATCTACCTTGAATGCCAATAAAAAAATGGTTTAGTGGGTCTTAAATTTTAACTCTATCTTGTGCTCATATGTTTGGTGATTTTGTAGCATTATTGTTATCTTTATCATTGCTTGTCACAATACATGCACCGTTTGACAATCAATGATAAAGATAGACGTATATTTGTAATTTTGCAACAACAAACAGTGCATGTATCTTGACGTTGCAGGAGCCATACGATAAACGATGATGTTATGGATATAATGGATGCCAAGTTATGAATTGGTCTATACACAATATTCAAAATAACAGAAAGACAATAACATTACTAATTAGAGTACACAAATATATGCATATTTTGAGCCGCCCAAGTCTTATATAGGATTAAAAAAACTTGAAAGTCCCACACCTGCATAAGTAAAATAAAGTCTCTATAAATCACGAGCATCTGGTTGTCTATTTTTCTAAGATTAAGCATATGCTTAGTATGGTCACATACTCCAGAATTGACTATTTTTAGATGAGGTAGATGGAGATACAACATTGAACCCCCTCAAGGGAAATCCAACGTTCACGTACCATAATCTCGAATTCATGAATCTATCAACTGTATATAAAGGCACAATAATGTTCGGGGAATATACCAAAAAAGTTCCAACCATATGTTTTTCAATCGGATGGGCCCTTTTTTATAGCATACCCTAACCAATAATTCATCATAGGTATCGCAACAAATATTCTGAATTTTTTTATTACATTTGTGTTAAATATTTTTTAATCTTATTTTGTAGCACCATTTCCAAATGCTAAAAGAGGGATCAAAGTTGTATCCTAAAGACTATATCCATCACTAAAATGATAGGTATTTCAAAATGTAGCTAGTAGATGGGAGTAAGAAAAATGTCAAGAAAGATATTCAAATGAAATTTCTCAGTGTTTAGTTACCCTACCTGTTAATGGGGATAATTATATTTTACTCCAATCACGAAGGAAACTTGTTATTTAGACTATCAAAACATACTCTACCCATTGCTTTTGCATTACTTTAACCACAATATGTACATCATCTTAGCTATATGCCTAAAAATGACAATTGACAATCTGAATGTTAACTTCACGTATTGATACAAAATCAGATGAAAACTACATGCTAGCTCACTGGATGACTTTAATTCTATATATTAATCTAATATCATGTACAAACAATACATATGGTCATTAAGACAAGACATTTGAAAATAACATAATAATTGTTCTCTCATAAATTGAAGATGATTAAAGATGTTAACCACATTTTTATGCGAGTAACGGTGTATGGTGAACCCTACGGTCATGGATAGACCAAGTCGACAGAAAAGTCATGTCTCAAGTCGTGCTACAATAGACACTCAGAGAAGATAATGTTAGACACGTTATGTTGGGAATTATGCTGGTTCGGGAGATCATTTCCTTGTGAATCCGTGATATCAAATTATCTCGTATCATTGGAAGGTAATTTCCTTGTTACTGGAAGGGGTCATCCACGACCCTCACCAATAATCATCTCCTTCCATGAGAATACACTCGTGTGGCCCTGTTTTCTTTATAGTTTCAGCCACCTTGTAAGTCTCCACTCATCACTAGAATCTTTAAGCCTGACATAGGGATATTAACCATCCGACTATCCAAACTTGTGTAAATCTATATCTCCATTGTGTTGATGGGATCTCTATTATTCTTCACGACTCCATGGTAGAATGTAAGATCAACGGTGATTGACCGCCGACAATCATATATGATATTTTGGCCATCATATTTTTATGGTTATAATAATGTATTATTTTTTAACATTTATTACATAATGTGTACATTTGTGAAACCACTCACTCAACACATGAGGACCGCACATGTGCACGGTCGCCATGACGGTTCGTAAAACAATGGTTTACAAGGTTGCTCACACATACAGTCGTCACATGTGTGCCCACAACATGATAAAACTAACTTTGTCCGTCGTTGGTTTATCAACTCTCGCGCATAAACTAGCTACATCTTAATTAAACCTCCACTTTAGGTACTAGTGATAACTTGACAAAATAAGAAAAGAATGCAACATCAACGATTGCCAACAAGGTAGGCTGGAGCAGCTATGAATCTCTCACTGCTTGCACATAAGCTAGCTTGCATTCCCCTCCAAATTATGTTCCAACTAATTGACTAAGTGCACTTCAGTTCACCATAGTCGCCATATAACACATCAAATTTCAATTGTCAGTTGTGTATCTCTTGCTTTTCTCTAGGCACTAGCAAAATGTCCTTGTGTTGCTATGAGCCACAAAAAGACAAGAATTTAAACTACCTTCTTATAAGATTATTAAAATACGTTGTTGTCTTGCCGCTATTGCATGGTTCATGATTAAAGAGAGTGGAAAATATAACGACAGATCTTATTGCAGTTGATATCTAATTGGAATAAATCAG